CTTTATTAAAAAAAAAAAAGTATGTATATGTATGTATGTATATATATGTGTGTGTGTGTGTGTGTGTATACACACACATATATTTATTTTTAAAAAGTGTATATATATATAAAACTATTAAAATATCTTTACAATATGTATATATATTGTCACTTTTATTCTGTGAGTCATTAAGACATTTATTAAGTTCCCATTTTAGCTTATTTTCCAGAGAAATTCAGTTTGGAAGATGAAATTCAAAGAAGAAAACTTAAATTTTACTTCCTTTTTTAGTGATTAAATTACATGCTAGAACATTTTTAACATATAATTTGTTTGATACTAACTTCTCTATTGAGAGGAAAAACTTTGTTGACAAAAATTAGGGTCTAATGCTTCATTACATATTATAGTAAAACATTTTAATTTGGACCATACCAAGAAAATCTATTTTTGAGTTTCTGAGCCAAGGAGCTATACGTAAATTCAGGGAGCTGTTTAACAATCCATAAGTTAACTTACATCGTAGTTTTATATTTGTCTAAAAGATGGCTAAACTTGTTATTGTGTACTAAAAAACACACTAGAGAGTCTTCAATAACCTTTAATGGTATGAGAAATGCAGCTTTTGTCATCTTGGCTACTAATTTTATTAGGTCAGACTCAGAATGCAAGGTCATTCTGGAGGCTACTGCCTTCTCTGTAGATATTTGTGTGGAAAGCGTGAAGGCCTGCCTTCTGCAGCCTTGGCTCAGAGATTGACTTTTTTGAGTCAAGATTTCACTCTGTTGACCAGGCTGGAATGCAGTGGCATGAACCCGGCTTACCACAACGTTGACCTTCTGGGCTCAGATGATCCTTCTACCTCAGCCTTTCAAATAGCTGGGACTACAGGCACGTCCCACCACACTTGGCCGATTTTTTTTTTTTTTTTTTTTTTGTGGAGATAGGATCTCACTATGTTGCCCTGGCTGTTCTGGACTCCTGGGCTCAAGCAGTTCTCCTGCCCTGGCCTCCCAAAGTGTTGGATTATAGACATGAGCCACTGTGCCCGGCCTTGATTTACTTTGGGCTAGTTGCATGGTGGCCTGGCTTTAGCAAAAGTCAGCACAGCTGTCTGACAGTCTGTTCATCTGATCAGCTATTCTAACCATTTAACCAGTTGTTTTCCTAGTGTAGTCTGATTATATGGAAGTTTGTATTTGTTTCAGGAACACAAAAATAAAAACAAGAGTGTGCAACTTTATCTTAGCTAGAGGGAAGTAACATATGTAGTTTGTATAGAGATTGTAGAAGTTGGTGTAAGTAGAGGCTGGTTTTAAATATTGGCTCTGTCACCTGTTAGCTATTTGATCCTGGCCATGTTTCTTTAGCCCTCTGAGTCTCAGTTTCCTCACCTCTAAAACAGAAACTAGAGAGAAGATCTACCAAAAGGAGCAGTTGTGAAAATTAATTAAATCTGTTCACATAAATAGAGAATTTAACAAATAGACATGCCCTGTAAGAGAGCTGTTACCATACCTTGTGAGGATTAAGTGAGGTGATGTATTTGAAGACCCCGTTGTATTATGCATGCAACATGCACGATGTATATGCATGCAAGACATGTCTATGACTGTTGTCCCCTTCTCAATAGCCGTAATAGAACTGTACCATAGGACAGATGAAGTATACATTCTCTGGTCTTCTCCGGCTTTCGGTGATTTAAAGATATTCTTTATTATAAAGTGTGAACTACCCTGTAAAAATGACACCTGCCTGTTATTTTGTATAAAAGGCTTGTTCCAGAGTTATCCGAGGCCTACCTGGCTTAATAAACTATGCTAGTATTAGAGAATAGGCAGCTGAGAGGGGTTCAGGCATGGCTGGTGTGCGGAACTACCTGGATTCGGCTTCAGCCCTGCCACTTAGTGGCTGCCGTGGTCCCTGGACAAGCTTGGCTTAAGTTGTTCATCTGTGAAAGATTAACTGAGGTGAACGACAGAGTACTTAGCACAATGCCTGGCACATAGGAAGCACCTGTGTTACTTATTCCCTTTTTAAAAAATAGCTTTTTAATTAATGGGTACAGCCTCCTTCAGAATATTTACATACTGGTTTTGGAGGTATTGGCTGACCCAGCTTCCCTTATGTTGTCAAAAGTCTTTGAGAAGGAGTTAGCCAGGAGCCGTTGGTACTGACGTGTTCCTTCAGTGGGGTTTCAGGAATAAGCAGAAAAGCTGGTGAGCCCTCACCCAGCGGCAGCACATCCTCGAGCGAGAACATGACGGCAGGGTTTAAAAGCACATCCTCAGTGGTGAAATTTTAACAATTCTTTTTAGGTGAACATTATACCAGTGATTGCCCAAGCAGATGGAATTTCTAAAACTGAATTGCAGAAGTTTAAGATGGCACTCATGAGTGAATTGGTCAGCAATGGCGTTCAGATATACCAGTTCCCAACGGACGACGACTCTGTTGCTAAGATCAATGCTGCCATGAATGTAAGCCCTGAATGTTAATGTTGAATATTAATTCTGTTTTACATGTGAAGATAAAACTGATTTACAGAGTCACATTGCTACTAATAACTTTTAACTTGTGTCTTCCAAAAGTGAATTTTCAAAAAGTCCAGTGTGAGGACATGCTTTATCATTTTGAATGGGGAAATGTATAATGAGAATCTGCTTTTCAGCATATCTTCTTTCATTCTGCTTTCACCTAGATAAAGTGAGAGATTTGTGAGACTGGGAATCACCCTTTGTGGAGCCGTACGTGACTGCCTTGGAAGGATGATCTCTTTCTGTCCTGTCTGTGAAAACATGAGACTTTCTAGCCTCCCTTGGAGTGCCTTAGAATCTTAATGTCTTTATGGAGATCTCTAAATGCTGGTCTTTGCAATCCTCTCCGTTACAGTGTCAAACGGACACACCAAACAGCCATGGAACTTTCCAGTTAAAATAACCGAAGATGACTAAGCTCCTTATTACTTACTTTCTTCATGTTAGCACATTTCTTAAATAATCTGATTATATTTTATAGGATCGTGGGTTTTGAAATCAGACAAACCTAACCAAATGTTCTTTGGAGTTACTAACCTCCTTGAGATGGTCAGCTTGTCCACAAAGTTAGGTTAGTGCTACTTATCCTAAAGGATGAAGATTGTGGGGATTAGTGTTGAAACCTTGGTTAAGTGTGTAATAGTAACTTTCAATAAAGGTTCGTTCCATTTCTTCCCTTTTCTAATTTTTTGTACCCCATTTATGTTAAGTCCTGAATGAAATCTACAAAAAACTGATTAATGTAGATGAAGTGATCTTAGTTCCTATGTGTTAAATTGTCTTTGCATGTTATTTTATTTCTTGTGCTTACCTAGAGTGATTTTTCAGAAGGGCACAATTAAGAAATTTATATAATGGCAATCATTACACATAGTACCTAATACTTTTACATCAGACTTTTCTCCTGTATTAATCCTCAGCTTCAGACAGATCAGTCTTCTCCCTGCTCCTGAATCAGCTGCTGCATGTTGTTTAGAATCTCCTCCTTCCCACCCTGCTTCTTCATCTGCGTCTCATTCCTCCTGGTCTGGCTTGATTGCATCTCCCCTTCCTGATCCCAGTGATTCCTCACTTCGTTCAACTTCTGGGGCATTTACCGTATTAGCGTTAATTTGGCTACTAATGCTGTATGTACATTAAATAGAGACATATATAAATAAACACACACAACACTCTATATACATTATGTATACTGTGTGTGTGCGCGTCGTTTCCTCAACATTATCTTTGTCTTTTAGGGCAAAAATAATATTGAGGGAAATGACACCTATACTAAATATACTAAACTTTCTATTGTTGTTGTTTCCCAGTAATAATAATACCTTACATGTGGGCAGAACTCAGTAAATACTTTCCTTTACAGGGCCAAAAAATGACTCTTGTAGGTTAGCTCATGCTTACTGCCAGATTTTAAAATCTGAGGCATGGCCAGACTCTGTGGCTCAGCCTGTAATCCCAGCACTTTGGGAGGCCAAGGCGAGTGGATGGCCTGAGCCCATGGTTTCGAAACCAGCCCAGGCAAATTGGAGAGACCTTGTCTCTGCAGTAAATCAGAAATTAGCTGGGTATGGTAATGTGTGCCTCTAGTTCCAGCTACTTGAAAGGCTGAAGTGGAAGGATTGCCTGAGCCCAGTAGGTTGAGGCTACAGTGGCTGTGAGCATGCCACCGCATTCCAGCCTGGGTGATGGAGTGAGACTCTGACTCAAAAAAATTTTAAAAATTAAATAAAGTCCGAGGTATAACTGATCATTGTATGAAGATGTGATTGACATTATGAATCTTTTTTAGGGACAGTTGCCATTTGCTGTTGTAGGAAGTATGACTGAGGTAAAAGTTGGAAATAAGATGGTCAAGGCTCGCCAGTACCCTTGGGGTGTTGTACAAGGTAAATGAGAGGGACGGTGACGAGCAATACGTGTGTGGCCCAGCAGTCTCAGGGTTGCTCTCAATGTACTCTTTGAGGCGATGCTCGTTTTGGATGATGTCTGGCTGTTAGAGGGCTTGGCTGTGCACCGTTTTGGCCAAAGTCTGCGAAGCTGGGCCAGAACCTCCCCATCCTTCCTGCTGTGCCTCACAAAGATGCCTCCCCAGTGTGGTGTGCCACGACGGTCAGATGGATGCTGTGGCCACACACTGAATGTAAAAAGTGGTGTTAAACATGATACATAAACTGATTTTTACCTAATTATAGGGCGCAGTAAAGCATCTTGTAAATTTATATATTTTTACAGATCAATGTGTTGTCAGCTATTTCCAAAACAAACCAGTCAGCCAACTTAAAAAAAAAATCTAAAAGTTAAATCTACTTGACAGATCATTTGTCTAACATCATATAAGTAATTAGCATGATCTTGTTCGTTTACTTGTATTGCTTATTAGTGGGGGATACATTGCTCCTACTAGTACTAGTTTCTAAATGCTGCTAGTTTTAAATTGACACATTTTGTAATTAATGAAAAATATTGAGAAAATGTAGCACTTTAAATTTTATAAGAAATATAAAAGTAGTATTTGTACTAAAGACCGTTGGTAACATATATTTATTTGTAGTCCTCTGGTCACCATAAACATAGAAAAAAGACCATGTGAGTGTGTACACTGATTTTTTTTGAATAATGTCTAACACAGGAGCATAATTGTATTATATAATAATAATTTAATCATTGTAGCATGCACAGATGGTATTCTTGAGTTTGCACAGTTTGCTGCTTTGAAGTTTTAGCAAAATAACGTTACAGACTCTTTTTAAGTACTATGTGAAATATCCTAAGGATGGTTTTGTAAACTGCTAACAAAATATTAGGGAAATGACTAAAGCATTTGGTAGCATAGTAAGTTGTGTTTCTTTGCTATTGTCTGTTTATCCATTGGCTACTAAATTTAAAGCAGATCTCCCAGTCTGTTAATTAACATTGCCTATAATGCAGTGTGTGCAATTCAAGAGTTTCTTCCTTGGTTACTCGTATAAAATAATAGTAGCTCTTAAACTAGTCATTTTGCTCACTGTTATTTCATGTATTGTCATTTATTTGTTTGTTCAATAAACACCATTTGTATGCCAGGAATTAAAAACCAGTGTTGCTTTTTTTCCTGACTAGTGGAAAATGAAAACCACTGTGACTTTGTGAAGCTTCGGGAAATGCTCATTTGCACCAACATGGAGGACCTGCGGGAGCAGACGCACAGCAGGCACTACGAGCTCTATCGGCGCTGCAAGCTGGAGGAGATGGGCTTCGCAGATGTGGGCCCGGAGAGCCAGCCAGTCAGGTAGCGAGGCTTCTCGGGGGGCGACCAGAAAGGGTATCGGAGTGAGGGGTGGCAGTGTTGATGTAGCCAGGATGATGGTGAGTGTGTCTCTCAGAAATCCCCCCGGAACTGTGAAATTCAGTTGTTGGCTAATGACTAATGACCGTGCTTCTTGAATCACTTGGCACTTTGGTTTTGAAGGGTCTTTGTCTGACTCAGAAGGAGTTAAATACGAGAAAGTATGGCAGATTCCCTCTTTTTCAGTACACGCTGATATAAATAACTGAAGCCCAAAAAAAAACCCCTTTTTTAAAATTTTTGTATATATCTGAGACAAATGAGAGAGTATATTTAACTATTATCATAAAAGAATGTTGGGGCATGCATAAAGAAGAACAAACTCGTGTCCCTTGCAGCAACATGGATGCAGCTGGAGACCCTCATTCTAAGTGAACTATCACAGAAACAAAAAGCTGAATACTGTGTGTTCTCACTCATAAGTGGGCCCCAGACATTGGGCACCCGAGCACAAAGGTGGGAACAACTGACTCTGGACACTACTAGGAGGGGGAGGGAAGCGAGAAGGGGCATACAACTACCCACTGGGTACCACGTCCATTACCAGGAGAAGAGATGCCCAAACCTCACCTGCACACAGTTTTACTCATGGAGCAGATCCTCACATGCACCCCTCAACTCTAAAATAAAAATAAAAATTAACAAAAAAGAAAGTTGGTGCACGAATCGTATTAAGTAAACGAAAACACTGCCTGTTGACTGTTCTTCTGCGAAAGTTTTGGAGTGAGAGAAACTTAGCAGAACATCTTGTAAAGGAATAATGAGAGCACTTATAGAGAGTCAGATTAGATTGTTTCTTACAATATTACAACATATTTACAAGAATTTTAGAGCCTGAAGAACTTCTTGCTCAGTGAACTGCAGCATTAAGTATTGTTATCAACTTCCTTGGTGACTTGAAACACATGTACACCTGATACCTGCACTCAAGGAGAGGTGGCATTGTATAATGAGGGGAGGTCCACATTTCAGCTGGAAAATTCAGGAAGACTTTCTTGAGGCAGTAGCTGTTTTGAACTATAATAATGAGCAAAACGGAGCAGGCGTGTGCAAAGGCCCTGAATGCAAGGAGAGAATGGCATTACACAGCCCAGGAGGCTGAGAAGGATAGGTAGGCAGCAGCCCTGGGGAGGATTTTCATTTTTGTCCTTAGATGAAGGCAGTGTCACTTTAGGAGTGACCTCATATTTGCATTTTAAAAATCACTCTGGACTCTAATGTGAAGACAGTATTGAAGGAAGGGGTATGCTTAGGAGGTGCTTAGGAGAAACCAGTTAGAATATTTCTTGGACTAAAGTGATAGCAGTGAAAATAAAGAGAGTTGGATATCTTTGGGAGATGTCTAGAAGGAGAAATTGGAAGAACTTAGTGGTGGTTTGGCTGTGATAAAGTACAAAAGCAGAATAGAAGCAGGAGGCTAGAGGGAGACTTCTGGTTTCCGGCACTTTTGGTGTCATGGCTAGGTGGCTGGTTACTCCATTCATCACGATAGGTCGTGCTGAAGGGAGACCAGCTTCTTTGTGGTGGTGATGGTAGGCACAGTGGAGATCAGAAGCTCGTCTTGGGACCTGCTGACCTTGAGTTTGCTCTGAAGTATCCAAGTAACAGTGGTGAGTAGGCCCTTTGGGGAGTTCATCTGGAGAGAAAGACTGGCCCAGAGGAATGCATAGGCGTTGATGGTTAGTTGCCATGTGGACTGGGGTGAGGCTGCCTGGAGAGAGAATCCCCTCTGCGAAGGGAGATGCCTCAGAAGCAGCCTCGAGTCGCTCCAGTGTTGCCACAGGGAAGAGCGGTGGGGAGGCTGAGAAGGGTCAGTGAACGGGAGGACCGCCAGCAGTGTCACGTCTTGGAGTTAGACCGAGGGTGTCAAGAAAGGAAATGTGTGGAAGCCGAGGGCCAAGCTGATGTGCACAGATCCCCAGGTACTTTTTGCACAGTGTTCAGTCACCCAGAAAGGGCAGAAGAAGGTTACGCCAGCTAGGACGTACAGATTCAAGGGGAGGCTCAGGGCAGGTAGGAACCAGTTTCCTTCCTGCTCTGGGAGTGGAATGAGTGAACGGAAGCTATGGCCAGCCTTCTTTGTTCACTGCTCACAAGTGGTGGTCTGGGGAAGGAGTGTCCAGTAGGCCCAGCCAGGGTCGTGTTCCTTTCTCTTGTGTGGGTGTGGACATGAACCTGATTGAGTGTCCCACCATCCTGTCTTCCACAGGAGAGGTAGCTCTCCATAAGGTAATCAGGGTAACAATACAGGAGGAGTTGGGTAGATGGCCAGCAGTCACAATCGTAGATTCCCATATCACATCCATTTATTGAGCATTTCTTCAGCTTGGGAAGCATCTGCTCACTGCTCAGGTGCAGAGTGGGTAACCAGAAAGGGAGGCTCTTCGGTTGGGTAGGATCAGTGGCTGGAAGTTAAGCAAAAATAAGGGCACTAGCTCTTTGTGAGAGGTGTCTGCCATGCCCTCTCTGCTCTCCATGGAAGAAGAGACACAGCATACTGAGTTTCTGGATTTCTTGGGTCAAGCTGAAGCACTTTCACCTTTTGACTTTTGGTGCTTTCTCGTCTGTGAATAAATGATTTGGTGAGGCTTCTATAGCTCAGTATAGCCTGATGTATTAGGAAGCTTTTGTTTTTTATAGTTTCTAGATGTTGCATTTTATTTTCTGGGGAATCTTTCCCATTTAATTTGGTAGTCACTCTAATTTGGTTGGCATGTAAAATATGTCCCTCAGTATTCTGTCTGTCTAACGGTTGTATAAAAGATGTATGCACCTGTTAGGGTGACCTTTATTCTTTATTTCTCTTTACTTCCCGGCCCTCTTCGCCGCAGCCTGTCTGTTTTTCCACTTCCGTTTTACTGCGTGGGTGTGCCGAGTCACGGTTGGTGCTGTACTCGCCCAGCACTGATGGTGTCTTGTCACGAGGTCCAAGAAAATGGCATTATACACTTAAACGGTTTTAATTAACTGATCTTAATGTTTTTATATTAACTGTTGAGACCATTTGAAGCATGCTTTGTAAAACGTTTTAAATCCCAAAGTTTAATAATTTCAGATTAACATAACTAGTCTCGTTCCCACAGTTAATCATCTTTAACATTTTACAGCAAAATCACTTTTACTGAAGTGTTGTGGTACCTATGACTTTGAAAGGAAGATTTATGGAGTATTTTAGAGTTGCTTAGGTGTTTGACATAATTATAGTAAAATTTTGTCGTTGTGACTCTTAAGAAACAGTTCACTTTCTTCATGTAGTCCACCGTCAGCTTGGAAAAAACTTACCAGGCTTATTAGAAATTAGAACTGGCCAGGCACAGTGGTTCACGCCTGTAATCCCAGCACTTTGGGAAGCGGAGGCGAGAAGATTGCCTGAGCCCATGGGTTCAAGCCTGGGCAATATGGCGAGACCTCGTCCCTACAATAAATCAAAAACTTAGCTGGGCATGGTGGCGCATGCCTGTGGTTCCAGCTTCTTGGAAGGCTGATGCAGAAGGATCACCTGAGCCCAGCAGGTCAAGGCTGTGGTGGCCATGAGCGTGCCACTGTACTCCAGCTTGGGCAACAGAGTGAGACTCCAACTCAAAAAAAAAAAGGAAATTAGAACTGTTCACGAGACACAAATAAGAAGGTTCCCAGTGAAAGGGGCTTAAGGGTTTTTCTTAATGACATGAGCATCTGAGAATTTCTTTTCTTTCTCTTTGGTTTCCAACTTTGCTTTAAGTCAGTGAGATATGCAACTGTAGTAGTATGTTGGCATTAAATGTTTCTGATAGCAAGCTACTTCTGTGCTAGAAAAGGGAGTAGTATAGCAAGAAAATGTTTTCATTTTCATTTAATCTGTGTTGAGTTAGTTTTATAATATAAACTCTTTAAACTATTCTGTTCCAGATCGTCTAAAGAGTTTCCTTACCACCTTCTGAACGACAGTGCGAGTTTCTTTCCTGCAGTTGGCCTTGTGCACTTTTTTGTCACACTGGAAAGCAACATGGCAGGATGAAAGCATGCAGGAACAGCCCACTCTTTCTCTGGGGCCTGGCCCTCTCTGAGGGAGATCTGAGTAGAGGTGGTTGGGAATCTGGGCTCTGGAACATGTCTGACCTGGTTCAAATCTCCTCTTTTCATTTTTGAGCTGTGCTACTTTGGGCGGTTACTTTGCTTCTCTAAGCTCTACTTTTCTCACGTGTGAAACAAAACATCAGTGCTTATTCTTCAGGGCTGCTGAGGGTATGAGATATGAGCGTAAGGAGTCCAGGAGAGAGCACTGCCAGCATCAGGTAGGCCACAGTGTCAGATCTCTTCTCTTCGCCTGGTCAGGGATTGTCTTTGTAAGCAACTCAAGTGCTTGTATCAATAGATTAATGAAACAGGTTTTTTTTCCCCCCCTGGCTATCGCAACCTGGACCTGCTGGGCTCAGGCGATCTTTCCGCTTTAGCCTTCCAAGTAGCTGGAGCTATAGGTGTGCACCACCACACCTGGCTAATTTTTTTTTTAATTTATTGTAGCGATGAAGGCTCACCATGTTGCCCAGGTTGGTCTTGAACCCCTGGGCTCAGGCAGTCCTCTCTCCTCTGTTTTCCAAAGTGCTGAGATTACAGGTGTGAGCCACTGTGCCTGGCTATTGAAGCAGTTTTTAAAAGCTTACATTTGATGTGGAGTAACAATATTATTTAAATCAAGCTTGTCAAGACTATCAGTTCAGCGTTGGACTAGCAAAATGTAGTGAGATTTCTGAAAATGATGAAAGGGGCTTATAGACTTAGGGGCTTCTTTTTAAAAAGACCAAAACAAACACAGAAAAACTGGTACGAAGTAAAATGCCTCTTTGGGATTTCGAGACATTTGTGTGGAATCTAGGGCATTTTGCACATTTGTAAACTTTGCTTTTAAAGAAAATGGACCCATCCTCCTGGGAACACCTGCTGTTTCCAGCCAAGCCGCCTTGCCTAGCACTCCTTACTCTGTTTTTCCTTGAACTTACAGAATTCTATACTTACTTCTAGTTATAAAATTTAAGATTGGCAAAATTTTAAAATTCATCATGTTTAAAATCTGCTTATATTTACGGTATTTTCATAAGCCGTAGATGTTTCTAACACAGCTGGAAAGGGAATTTGTGTTCTCTGTTAAACCTTTGGGATATTCTCATGGTGAGCTAAAGTGGAAGGGCTCAGCATTTTTCTTTCCTTTTCTTTTAATAAATTTTATAGAGATGAGGTCTCAGACTCCTAGGCTCAAGCAGTCCTCTTGCCTCTGCCTCTCAAAGTTTTGGGATTGCAGGTATGAGCCACTGTGCCCAGTGGGCTCAGCTTTTCGGACATGTAACAAGGCTTGTTACATCTCTGAAGGGCTATGGGTAAGAAAAAGCAATTGTCCATAGAGTTCCAGACTGTCCTTGCTGGTGAGGTTGTAGCCTGAGGGGATCAGGTTTGTTTGGTGAGCAAGGAATCTGGTAAGGTAGAATTAGGCCAGATTATGCAGTTTCAAAGAGGTGGGGGTGGGACCTTGTACGGGAGAGAACATAATGTGGGGAGAAAAGGTCACAAGATTTGCGTTTTTGGTGGAAAACCTAAGGAGTGGCAGGAAGAACCAAGTGAAAGGAAGGAACTGGAAGCCCAGAGATCAGTCTGGAAATTATCGCAATAGTAATGGCAGAAAATCACAAAGATCCGGGCTGTGGTGCAGCGGCACCATCATGGCTCACCACAGCCTTAACCTCCTGGACTTGGGCAGTCCTTCCTCCTCAGCCTCCTACTTGGGACTGCAGGCATGTGCCACCACACCTGGTTATTTTATATATATATATATTTTATAGAGACGAGATCTTGTTGTATTTCCTAGGCTGGTCTTCAACTCCGGGGCTCCAGCAATCCTACTGCCTCAGCCTCTCAAAGTGCTAGCATGACAGGCGTGAGCCACCATGCCCAACCAAGACTGTATTTAAATTATTTTAGCTTCCCAGGCTGATTGAACAAACTTTGGTGATCAGATATGGAGATAAGGGTGAGGGAAGAGTCAAAGATGACTTTGGGACTTCAAAGTTTCTAGATACAGCAGTTTCAAGTGACAAAGATGGAAAGAGGAACATATTTGCAGTGAAATTGAGGGTGTGTCTTATGCAGGAATTGGTAAAGCAGAGGCTTCAGAATTCTAGCATTCTCTGAACATTGTTTCATTATAACATTGATGAGAGAAAACAGTGGTTTCCTGACTGCAGCCACTGTTTGTGTGGCGTTTGCACATTCTCCCCATGTCTGTGTGGATGTTCCCCAGGAATTCTGGGTTTTTTCCGCATTCCAGAGGTGTGCATATTACGTTCACTGACACGTCTACACTGTCTCAGTCTAAATGAGTGCTCTGTGGTGGGATGGCTCCTGTCTGAGGTTGGTTTTCACCTTGCGCTCTGAACTGCAAGGATAGGCTCGGGCCACCTGTGACCCTAAACTGAAATTAGCAGGTTGGAAAATGAATGCAGATCGTTGTGAAGTAAAAGTTCATAAAATGTAAGCATCCAATGCATGGCAGTAAGTAATGCAGCATGAAAGCGCACAGCAAGCCTGCTGTATTTGCTGTGGTTGCTTTTGAACCGTGTGGAGGTAGGAGGTGTTCCTTCATTATCTTACTTGCTTTTATTAATCTTTTTCTTTTTTTTTTATGTTTTTTTGAGTTGAGTCTCACTCTGTCACCCAGGCTAGAGTACAGCGAGACGCTCACAGCCACCGCGGCCTCAGCCTCCTGAGGACCTGGAACTACAGGCACACGCCACCATACCCGGCTAATTTTTTTTTATGTGTTGTAGAGACGAGGTCTCGCCAACTTGCCCAGGCTGGTCTTGAACCCCTGGGCTCAGGCAATCCTCTTATCCTGGTAATCTTTCTCACATCTATGTATAGCTCATATTTGTTTCAATGTATAAAGTTAGAAAGCATTTTGAGTCTTTACTTAGAAGTTTGGTACTGGTTTTGTAACTGGAAAGATGACTTAGGAACTTAGCTCTTATCTCAACTTTGCCTCTGGCAAAACTGGTTTCTTGATACTTTAAATTGCAATTTCCAAGAACTATGGATGATAGTAAGTGAGGACTTACTGTATTTTTCAAGTTGATTACATCATCTTTTAACAGGAAAGTGACACAAATCGCTTTTAGTCTTCAACAGATGTATGACGTCAAAAGACAGGAATTCTGTCGTGAAGTTCAGAGGAAGGAGGAAGAATTGAAGCGCGTGTATGTGCAGCGAGTGAGGGAAAAGGAAGCCCTGTTTAAAGAAGCCAGAAGAGAGGCAAGTATGATGGTTTGATGGGATTCACATTTATTTTTTAGGTGTCCTGCTGACTTGAGATACTTTGTAGGCTACTTGTCCTTTAAAGAGTAGCTAGTCTGGTCAGGTGCAATGGCTCATATTCCTAATCTCAGTACTTCAAGAAGCCACGGCAGGGCATTCCCTTGAGGTGGAAAGTTCAGGACCAGCCTGAGCAACATAGTGAGACCTAGTCTCTACCAAAAAAACGTTTTTTTTAATTTGCTGGTGGACATGATGACAAGCGCCTGTAGTCCTAGCTACTCGGGGGAGACTGAGGTAGGAGGATCTTTTGAGCCTAGAGGTTTGAGGCTGCACCAGTGAGTTATGATCATGCCAGTACGCTCCAGTGTGGGCGACAGAGTGAGACTCTATCTCCAAAAAATAAAATAAATAACAATTTTTTAAAGTAGTTATTCTAACAGTCTTTGCATATAGAGTTTTAAAGAAATTCATAGTCTGAGATCAAATTAAAAATTTGCCCTTTTGAGCAAATATTCTTCTGTTGGAAGTGGTTTACTAAGGACTTGTAATGGACTAGGTTACTAAGAAGTGTTTTAGATATCCCAACCATGAGCCATAAACATTTTACCTGTGACTCGATAAGGCCTTTGTTGGGAGTTGAGGGTGGTTGTTGGCCATAAGATGGGTAACTGTGAAAGCTGTACAGAAGCTTTCTTCATCTTTGACCTGAAGCTCTTTGGCTGCTGCGAGATGATCTAGAAGACCTTGAGCTAGTGGTGACACAAGAAAACATCACCAGTGAACTTCCGTGGTTTTGCTTGCTTCTAGTTCTTAGCAGCAGTTTTAGTTTTGAGGTAAGCAGTTTTCTTGATGACCCAAGGATTCTGAGCTTCTGACTGTGCAGCTTTTGAATCTGTAGATTTCGGGGACCTGTTGCTGTGCTGATATGACAGGGTCCCTGCTGTGACCCCAGTGTTGTTCCTGCTGAGAGCCAGGGTCAGTCTGGCGAAGGTGAGCCTTCTGTCACTAATCATCTCTCCATGACCAGAAATCATCACCCGGAAAACTGTATAACTCGTAATCTTAAGAAAGATGGTTTTAGAGGGCGAGGAGGCTTGTTGATAGTGGCACAGCAGGTAGATGTAAACCAGGTCTTTTCTAGACAAACTGGGCCATTTGATTAAGGTTTTACTATTTCCCAATCTTATATGTTAGTCTGCTTCCTGCTGTAATTCTTCACTTAACATTCATGCCCCCTTTACTGCCAAAAAGTATTCTGGATAATTTATAATAAAAAAATGTAGCTATATTGCAGCCATGAGCAAGAGGAGACCAGGAGCCTTACGGTAGGGGCAAGAAGGAGTTTGCCAAGAGGGACAATGGAGAGCCTTGGGTCAAGGGAACTTTAAGTGAGCACATAGCATGGGCTCTGACTTGCAGGCAGAAAGGGATCCTGGCAGAGCACAGGGCTCTGGTTACAGTGGGCTGCTAGCTCAGCAGTAGACAAGTGTGCTCTCTGGTGTTCGTTTCTGATATCTGAAAGTGGATACTTTTAAAAGGACCATTGAGTGGCAGATTGTTTAACATCGTAGAAGCAGTGTCTACAAAAGGCACAGCATTGCACAGTCATCCACCATCCTCAGTTCCTGAGGCTTCAGTTATCCATGGTCAACCATGGTTCAAAAATATGAGAGTGCTTCAAGAGAGAGAGACCACATTCACACAACAGTTATTACAGTGTATTGTTATAGTTGTTCTGTTTTACTGTTAGTTATTGTTGATGTCTTATTTCTTAACTTTACTGTAAGTATGTATGCCTAGGAAAAGACATAGCACAGAGAGGGTTCCATACTATCTTTGTTCCAGGCACCCACTGGGGGGTCTTGGCATGGAGCCCCTGTTGATAAAGGGGGATGGGACTGCCGTACCACATGAGCAGCTCAGTCTGAGAGAATTGGTGACTGACTCTCAGCAGCTCGCTTTTTTCGAATCTGGAAGGATGTGGGAGGTGACTGCCTGTGGTGAGCAGTGGGGCCAGAGCGAACACTTTATGCAGTAGGTTGTTTAGCAGTGGAGTAGGTTGTTGCTGTCACAACTGCGGATGCCATGGGGTGCACACCATAGTCATGTCCACACCCTTTTCCCCACCCCCTCTGAAAGTGTCTTCCAGTTTGTCGTATTCCTGGAATCTTAGCCAGCCTTTCCAGGTGTTGTTGTTGCGAATCACGCACGCACCTCCACTCGAGTAAGCGATGGGGCCCTGTTGGCGCAGCGGGAAGCCGTCCCTTTGCTTCCTCCCCCAGCTTTCCCTCCCCCTGCTCTTCTCCCACATTAGAGGGATGCCCACCTGCTCCGAGAGCTGCCACCGTCTCCTCATGTGTGCCACTGGTTTGAATGACAGCTAGAGAGGCCCACCCGCAAAACACATGCACATACATAACCATGTATCCTTTTAAAAAGCAGGGGCCGTTTAAATAAGCAGATACTGAGGAGCCCGTGCTTTTCTGAAAAGGCAGCATCCTCCGAAATCAAAGGGTCTTAGGTTATAGGGCCTTTCTTAATCATCTATTTCAACCACGTCCCCCTTTGAATACTTCTCCTGTCAGGGGCTCACTGACTCACAGGACAGCCTGGCCCATATAAATTTTATTCAGCTGGAGGTTAGCTCTCTGGTTTCTACCCTCAGTCTCTGTTTCTTCGTCGTTCCTGAACGATGATATGCCATCTTTTCAAGACCCAGAGTTCTACTTTGTTGTATGAATGCTAGATTGCTACCCAGGACTGAAATACTAATCTCAGGTTTATCTAACCCGACTAGAGGACCAAACGAGGGTCCTCTCTCTTGGCTTGGATTCTAGGTGCTGTGTTTATATTGTTGGAAGGCACAGCATGCAGCTGATTCCTATGCAGCCTGCTTTAAGTCCCTGGTTTCTTCAGGCGAGCCACAATCAGACCAGAGCCGCCTGCCTCCGTCATCTTTGTCCCTGGGCTCTTTGAACTTGCCTGCGGAGCTTCCCCTACCTCTCATCTGCATTTCTTTTCGTTACTCTTCCACCACTGTAACTTCCTCAGGAGCAGCACTGTGTGCTGTGCTTGGTGCTGGAGTATAAACATGAAAGGGACATAGCTCCTGAGCAGTCTTCAGGGAGACGCTGCTCAGTGACCCTGCCAGATGTGCGTGGGTTCCTTCCATGGCCAGTGAAAGAAGTTCGGCACCAGTAATGACTCCACACCCGGCCAGGACCAAGAGATTTATTAAAGCGGCTGTTACAGAGGGGATCTGTAACGGGGAAAAAGAAAAAGAGAGAGAGAAAGAGAGTAAGAGAGAGAGAGGAAGTGGGAGAGAGCTGCAGAGAGAGAGAGAGTGACAGAGAGAGAGAGAGAGAGAGAGAGAGAGAGCCTTTGTTGTCTGGTGTTTCGGCACCATTTTGGGAGCCCCCCCTCTGGTCGCTTCCTGCACCCTTCAGCATGTAAAGCCTTGACTATCTGGGGCTGCAGGCAGAGAGAGAGTGTGTCCTGTTTTGTAGTTAATAACAACGACTCATATTTATTGACTGCTTACTCAACACTATACATTGGTAAGAATGTTAAGTAAATTAACTTTTTTCGCCTTTCTATCCTAATATTTGTAAAGCTCTTTTTTCCTGCAGTTTCCCTTCATAGGGCACATTGAGAAATATGCCTCCGTGATTTATGTGGGACTTTCCTTAAACTGTGGAACAAAATAAAGCCAAACCCAGACCTACCCTAAGTCGACATCCAGTGTGATACTGTTCCTTTCATATGGGTTATCAAGATGATTTTCAGCCCTAAGGAAATGAAAATCTATTGAATCATGTCTTTTAAATGTTTTTCTTAGTCTTTTTTTCACTTAAGAGAAATCTCATGTTGTAATATTACAGATTTTTGCAAAACCAATTTTAATGACTGTGCAGGGAAGAATAACCCTGTAGGTTCTCAGCTGGAACAGACCCCTTGCTCTCAGTTTCCCCAGTTCAACAAGAGAAGAACACAAGTTTGTTAGTATGTGTATTTCACATATCCACAGGAGACTCAGCCAGTGAGTTATTCTCAAAGAGGTGACTTCGGATTCCAGCTTATGCAGTATCTTCAGGAAAGAACCGCAAAGTTTTAGACAGATGGCAAGAAAAAAGAAAAGGACTTTGAGTCTCTGGGGATTGCAGCTTGGAAGAAAACAAGTAGCTGGTGGATAATGGCTAGTTAGGAAAGCTGGTCGCAGATGTCCCTGGTGCTGTCTCTGGTCTCCAGTTGTCCTCGGTGGCTAGCTTGTATTCTCCTGTGGGGAAGGGAGCAGGGCGACCTGTGTCTTCGTGAAGCTGTGTCCTGCTTTAGGCAGATGGGGGCAGCGGGCTGTCCTGTATCGACAGCTGGCTTAGCGAACGTCAAGCTCGGCTTCGAACCCGGCAGCACATTCTGGTCTCCCACACCTCCACTGAGTGTAGTCAGCATAAACTCACTGTTTTACTTTATCTGTATTGAATACTTGGACTGTTTTTGCCATTTTGATGTGAGTATTTTATATCTTTCTCTGAATTTAGATTTCAAGAAGTTGAATGGCTGTGGAAAAATGTAATATGGTTTTAAGGTTTTTGACATAAATTGACAGTTGGCACTTGCTTTCCTGCGAGGTTTACTAGTACAGTTTTCAGCATCTGTTTCTCTGTATTTGTCATCTTTATTTGGAAAATGGGAATTATTTTTTCTTTTGGATAGTTTCCTTCTGTATTTTGTGCCTCTTATTTTTATTGAGCACTAATTTGAGAAACTTTATGTGAGAAGCTTTATGAGTAAAATGTAAAGTGAGAAAAGTAGAAACTGTCAAATGTTTTAAGAACTGAGTTTTGTTATATGAGGCTGTGGCTTTTATTATATTTGGTTCAGGCATTTTTTGCATAGAAACCCACTTAAGTAACCAAGACAGTTCTATATGTAAACTTTTGTTTGAAGCATGGACCTTTGAGACTTTAGGAAGAAAGTGTGGATTGCTGTGTAGACAACAGTGTGTTATGCGCCTGTGGACAGCCCCTCTGCTGAACTGGAGAGGAGCCTGTGTGTGTGCTGCCGCGTTGTGTCAGTGGCGGGAATTGCACTTTTGTTTCCAGCTACTGGCCAAATTTGAGCATCTTAAAAGAGTCCACCAAGAAGAGACAATGAGGCTTGAAGAAAAGAGAAGATCTTTGGAAGAAGAAGTCATTGCTTTCTCTAAGAAGAAAGTTGCGTCTGAGGTTTTCCAGAACCAGCCCTTTCTGGCAGTGGGCAGCAACCTGAGGAAGGACAAGGACCATAAGAAGTGAGTGTCCCCAGGCACTGCCCTGGCCGCCCGCCCCGCACCTCTGTCTCCTTGCCTGGCGTTTCTCTCCTCTGTGTACTCACGCCTTGCCTGCTTCCTGCAACTCAGCGTCTGCTGGAGAGCAAACCTGCCCCTCTTGTTCACTGCATCTTATCCACTGCTTCTCCTGCATCTAGAACAGCATCTGGCACATGTTACATGCTTGTAAATGTTCGCCAGAGTGGATGAATAAAACGGATCAGTTAGCCGGAGAAAAGAAAATTGGCTGCTCTTATTTCATAGCGCAGCCATGGCCCTAACTACATGGCTGCTTTTGCTGATCTGCCACCAGTTACTCAGAATTTACTTCTTAATGGAAACGATGTACTTTATTGGGGAACCATAAACATAAAATAGTATTTTATTTTCAAAATCTAGTTCTTAGACCCTTTTTGAAAATGAATTCTACTGATATTGATTTTGTGAGAATTTTTATTTTGATAAGGGAACCAAGCTGTCGATTTGAACTCCTGTGCATTGATGTCAGAGCTTGTGAAGCCAGTGCTGGACGTAAAGATGCAGAGAAAGGTAGAGAGGGCCACAGTGCAAGGGGGCGGCCATGAGTAGCGTTTGATGACAATCGCCAGGCTTGTAGGTTCTAGGTATGTGTCAAATCAGCTGCCAAAGTCTTAGAAAATAAGTTTTTTTTTCCTTTTTGGTAATCTGTACTTTGTGTCCCTTGTGTTGTTTCTCCCATGTAAAATAGCCTTGTCAGTTTAACTGTTCGTTATTGAATTTCATCAGGACCTGGTCTATTCCAAACTCTCTTTTGTGGGTCTTTGCCTGGGCTCACTCCAAATACCTCTGTGTTAGTGGCATCAAGTCCTCTCATGTTCCTCACAGAGCAGCACTTCTTCTGGCTTAATTTTCTCACTGCATGCGTTTCCAACCCAGCATTTGCAGAATATTGCAGTTCAACTTTAGAATAGTTAGGAAAACATAATCTTGGTCTGTTGGATTTTTCCATTTTTAAAATCCGCTACAGATTTTATAACTTTTTGGGGAAACTATGAATGTAAGCTCTACGAGGGTGTGGATATTTATGCTGTTCATTGATGTATCCATTCCTAGAGGCTAGAACAGTGCCTGGTGTAATTATTTGTCAAGGAATGAATATGATGGTATAATATTTTATTCAAGCATTGAATTTCAAAAGGTAAAATATAAATATAATTGCTGCTTTTTAGTGTGCTTTATATCATAAAGCTCAGGGATCTTTTACCCTCTTTCTTTTCATCTTAATCCAGTGTTACTAACATTAGATTTCCCAATTTTGCTAATATATATGAAAGCTAATATTTACCTTTTAAAAATTATCAGCCAGCTCCACTTGAGAACCACAGTGTTGTTTGTGAAATCAGGGCTAAGCCCATAACTTGTCGAGAGCTCTTCTAGAAGAATTTATCCTCAAGAAAATATGGTTTGGTGGTTTTGGTTTTTTATTTTTTTTTAAGTTCCATAGCTAGATATCCCATAATATGTTAGATGTATATTTGCTAACTTTTACTTCCTGTATGCTTTTATTATACCAATCAAAAGATATTTTTCCTTTCCAGCTCCAATTTTATGTAAAACAGAAGTTCCAGACCACAGAAAGTCATCACAAGCAAAAGCAAAAGTTATTAAAAAGCTACACGTATGCTTTGATTTTCTTGCTGTTTTCATTTATGTTATCACTTACTCTATATCTGGCGGATGGCCACAGTTAGTGACATTTATGGGAAAATGCTTTCAAGTACAAGGTCAATACATAAGCCAGAGTTGATGGTACTACAGGTTAAGCATCCCTGATTCAAAATGTTCCAAAATCTGAAACTTGATTGCAGGCATGACACTGTAAGTGGAAAATCCCACCAGACACCATTGCCTCTCATGATTCAGTGCACACAAACTTTGATTCATGCACAAAATTATTTAAAATATTTTATTTAAAATTATTGAAAATATTGTGAAAAGGTGTATGTGAATTTCGTGTTTGCACGTGGGTCCCATCATGTGTGCGCAAATACTCCAAAATGTGAAATCCAAGATGCTTCTAGGCGCAGGCATTTGGATGAGGGATGTTCAACCTGCCCTCACATGTTTGCTGTTGCTAGAAATTGTTAAGCTGCTGTTTTGTGATGAATCTCAGTCTGTTCTCCTGCTGCCATGTTATTGTCACTTTGCGTTAGACCAAAGAACAAAGTCTCAGTGCCATTGGGAATACAGATCTCATTTGTATTCCGGCCAGCTGTATTTATATTCCAAGATGAACCTTTTTGCATATACTAAACAAAAAAAATTGGAAATATGTCTTGGAATGTATTGTAGAGATAAAACTCTAACCACTCAGTAGTTTCATAGGACTTAAAAAATTTTTGATACAGTCATCCAATTGGTGATATGGTAAGCTTTTGTGTCAAATCGTATAGCATGATTATTTTTCATGCTTCTGTATGATACTTTTCATGCTGATGTATTGCTGTGATGAAACTATGTTTAAAAGTAAAAAAAATCTAGGTATATAGATTCTTTTTTCAAGTGATAAAGTACCTTTGAACTTGAGCATATCACAGTACTTTCATTAGGATGTATTACATGTTGTCTAAAACTATCTTCCAGGGGAAAAATAATAAGGTTGAATTATTTTATTAAAAATATTTTAAAGAAAAAAACGGAGCATCTGAATATTAAAGATATAAACATTCAGATAATTCATGTTTTAAAGGATATTAGCACTTAGTGCCTTAGTATTCTCAGAACATTTTATTTTATTTATTTATTTATTTTATTTTTTCTCAAAACCTTTTAATGGTTTCTAATATTTTCTTAACAGTGATAGGTATATAAATTTTTATTTTTTGTACTTGAGTATTCTAAAACTGACATTTGCTCTTGGCAAATAAAATGTATCTGCATATTTACTAAAATGTGTTTAAATTACTCGAACTTTTCTATTTGCAAACTGTCATTTTAAGAAACATTTTATTAAAATCAGTTCATGTAATTGAATTATTATTATTATTATTTTTTAAAGCAGGATTTATTGAGAGGACAGAAAACTTCCCACAGTGGGAGGGGACACAAGGCAATTACCATAATTGAATTATTTTACGATGAAGTATTTTATGAGTATTTTCAGACAAAATGTTTTAGTCTGTGTCAGATTCTGAACAATCATGAAGTTGTAAATAAAGACTTCCGTTTCATAGCACAATTTATCTATGCAGGCACTTCAGATTTTACTTCTGCATGTGAAATTCACAGATATCTCTCTGTTTAAAACCTTTGAACTCAGTTGTGTCACAGAGCAAGCTCTCAAGTTTTTTCTCAAGCCCAGCGATGCATGGCACTGGTGTGCAGAGCCCCTGAGGCGGGCGGCCTGCGGTGCAGAGCTGGGCAGCACAGAGTACTGGGTGCCCACGGAGCAGACACTCGTGAGGGAGCATCTCCGAGACTTGTGGGAGTGCTTGTTGGGGCCTCCAGGTAGACCAGATGTGTATGAGGCAGCTCTCCTTCACTCTGCTAGGTTTCCTGTGAGGTGCTGGATCACTTGTTGGCATGGCACGCAGAGTTAGTTGAGTTTCTGTTGGAATCGTTGAAAAGAACTTAATGGGACCCCGCCTGAGACTCTGGACTTCACAGGAGGATGTCCTTTGGTGCTGTGGATCACGCTGCTGTGAGAAGGTCTCCTCCTGCTTTGACCACAGTGTGAATTTTTAATTCATGTATTTGGGATTTTATTTTAAAGAGTTGCACTATAAAGAAAAGCTGTTTTTTAAACAATTGCACTAGGAAGTTCAAGTTCCTTTTTTTTTTTTTGAGTTGGAGTCTCAGTCCGTCGCCCAGACTGGAGTGCAGTGGCACACTCCCGGCCACCGCAGCCTCGACCTGCTGGGCTCCAGCGATCCTTCCACCTCAGCCTTCCAAGTAGCTGGAACTGCAGGTGCGCGCTACCATGCCCGGCTTTTTGATCTATTGTAGAGACAAGGTCTCACCAAGTTGCCCGAGCGGGTCTCAAACCCCCGGGCTCAGGCAGTCCACTCATCTCGGCCTCCCAAAGTGCTGGGATTACAGGCTGAGCGCTACCATGCCCGGCTAACTTTTTGATTTATTGTAGAGACAAGGTCTCACCAAGTTGCCCGGGTGGGTCTCAAGCCCCTGGGCTCAGGCAGTCTACTCATCTCGGCCTCTCAAGTGCTGGGATTACAGGCTGAGCCACCGAGCCCAGCCAAGTTCTTCTTAATATATTACAAAGCAAATTTATTCTCTGGTATTCAGGCAGATGATTAGAAAATGAGTTACTATCCACTGATGCTTAAATGAAATCTCCTAGGAACAAAATGAAGCTAGTAAGGTTTTTGTTAATAAACTTTTTTTCCTGTTCAGCTTGTGAAACAGTTGCCTCTAATTAACAGCTGTTAATCTTTGTACATACCCCTCTGATTTTTTTTCTTTGAGACAAGATCTCGCTCTGTCGCCTAGGTTGGTGCAGTGGCAACAAGCATAGTTCACTGCAGCCTCCAACTTCTGGGCTCAAGTGATCCTCCTGCCTCCGCCTTCTGAGCAGCTAGGACTACAGACATATGCCACCAATTTTTAAAAATTCTTTGTGGAGATGAGGAGTCTTGTTGTGTTGCCAGGGCTGGTCATCTTGATCTCCTTTGCTCAACCTGTTCTCCTGCCTCAGCCTCTCAAAGTGCTGGAGCACAGGTGTGAGCCACAGCATCTGGCCTCCTATGATTTTTTTAAAGTTCTTGTACAAAGACTAGATTTGAGCTTCAAAACAACATATGGAAAAGACATTACAGGGACTGTTATTATCCCCATTTTATTTTATTTTTTTTATTTTGAGTTGGGGTCTCACTCTGTTGCCCAGACCAGGGTGCAATGGCATGATGATGGTTTGCTGCAGCCTCGACCTCCTGGGCTCAGGCAGTCCTCTCACCTCAGCCTCCTGGGTAGCTGAGACTATAGTTGTGTGCCACCACACCACTCCTGGCACATTTTTGCCTGAGTTTTGGTAAGAATGAAGTCTCGCTATGTTGCCCTTGCTGGTCTTGATCTCCTGGGCTCAAGCAGTCCCGCCGCTTCGGCCTCCCAAAGTGCTGGGATTCCAGGCGTGAGCCCCCATGCCTGGCCCCATTATCCCCATTCTCAGATGAACCCGGTTTCGGCCCTGTTCTTCTGCCCGGCTCTCGTGGCCAGACCAGCGTGGAGGAGTGGGTCTGAGCAGAGTGCTCTCCGAAGGCACCTGCCTTCACCCACGGAGCATAAGGCAGCACCCAGGCAAGGTACCGGTCTTAAAGACGAGCAGTTTTTCCAGAGTGCAAAAGGAGAAGGCGGTCCCGGAACACGGGGCAGCGTGTGCCTGAAACCTGTGTGCACTGGAAAGCAGCTGAACACACAGGGAGGAGGGGGCGCCCGCCTGGCCCGGTTAGCAGCAGGTCGGGCCCGGCCCGGAGAGACGTCGAGGCATCCTGCAGGTGTGTGGGGCAGATGTTCCCCGGGGCTTGCGGGAGGGAGGTGTTTGGTGGCAGGGCTAGTCGGGCGAGGAGCTCAGGGGCGGGCTGGCTCTTGAGGGAGAACGAGAGGGCCGCTGAAGCGGCGCGGAAGGGAAAGCCTGGGAGTGAAAGGGGTAGCCTGGGCAAGTCCGGGTGAGTAACGCCCGTAAAAAGCCATTCTGATGTCTTGTGGAGTTGAAAAGACGTCGTAGGCTGGGTGCAGTGGCTCCAGCCTGTAATGCCAGCACGTCGGGAGGCCGAGGTGAGAGGGCTGCCTGAGCCTGGGGGCTCGAGGCCTCGTCTCTAGTGACTCAAAAAGTCAGCTGGGCGGGCT